CATCCTCTAGAAACAGCGATATTCAGGCTTGCATTGTTAAAAAAATCATCAAGAAACTGACAGGTTGCGAGGCAAAAATGGACAAACAACATCTGGGTTACACCTGACTGACGAAACATAAGTCCCATATCACTCCCGACTTGACAATAATATTTACATGCCTCAGCAGCCTTGTTTAAAACAACAAAACGCGGAGAAAGGAAACCACCTGCATTGATTTAACGCGTGTGATACCAGCCCTTTTATTCAGCCGTGTTATTACAGGGAAAGCTGGCTTTGGTGGACCGAAAGGGCAGATGCACATAGACTTTTGTAGCCGGCCGGCATCGGTGTTGTTTTAGATCGGCTGTGGAAACCATTCAAATGCACACATACACACGTGTAGCACCGAGCGACAGGTCTTGAATCATCACCTACAACCTTCAGTCCTTTCGTGAATGAATTAATGCGACAATTAACGACAATCACTTGCTAGCTGAATCAGAACACATTTTGTTTTAATCTTATTGCTCAAAAGACTTAAATTTTAGACGGAGATTACCTATTAGGATATACTTCTGTTTTTTTTTCGTTTTTCATTTTGCCAAGTACATGTACTGTATTTCAATCAGTTATAAACCTGATTGGCCGATGGCTTTGTTTTACTTAAAATTAATGGTAGCAGTAAAGATAAAATTATAGGCGATTGTTTCAGACATTTATTATTTTGATTAGGTCAAGTGGTGGCGTAATTTAATTGATGTTTACTTTGTCACAACTTGCATTAACTTGATAACTTGTTATAAATTGCCTTTTAATGCGGAAGTTAGTCGGTGAAACAACTTTGTCCGAGGCCGTTTGAAGTTTTAAAACTCGTGCAGACCTTTGAAGCTTTTAAAATATTGAGATTGCATGTTCAAATCTGCTAAAATGCCAAATTCAACTCACTGATCAGTTTTGGAAAACGGAAAATTTTGTTTATAGAGGCAGTCAGGTTTTGAAAACTTTCTCCAACTTTTGTTTCAATTTTGTTTTGTTCTGAGTTATTTTGCACGTGTTCTTGACAGGTGTCAGAGACCTTTTGTCCTATTTACTTCTTCGCTGTAAAATATAACAGGTATCTTATCAATCATAATTCCTTGTTTTCCATTTAGAAATTTAAAATAACAATCAAAAACAGTATTTCAGTTAGATTTCGGAATCGAAAGAACTTTTCAACAGTTGTCCAAATAGGCATGTGAACAATGTAACACGTGTCAGTGCAAATTGTTTGAGATCTCATACAAAACTTTACTTCATCTCAAGATGCTAAGATATTTCTTAATCTTGGTATTGTGAAATTCGCAGTGAACGAAACCGTGCGCTAGAGAATTTTTTCCCCCGTGAGCTTCTTCGAAGAAACATTTAAGTCAGATAACCAGGTACCAAAGTATTTACAAAAATATCTACAGTTGCTTCAGAATCTAAACAAAGTAACAAATCTATCAACACGCCGACAAAATTTGTTTTAAATGTTTTACATTGTTTTACTCAAACTTAGTTAAAATTGTTTTGTGCATAAACTTGAGATCTAATGACTTGGTGGAATCACAAGTGCCAGCTCACTTCACCCTTCTATCTGCCACAGGTGTGCACGAGTTATTGTACAGAAAAAGAGAATTAAAAATCGTCTGATAAATACTCCGCTTCAGGTCGACAAACTTTGTAAACGTTGGAAATAATATCTTGTTATTCAGAACTAGGAAACTGTTGATAGTTGTGGTAGCAATGTTGCCAACATGGAAGACACACATGGAACTCGAAGCTCGCAATGAATCAATTGTGTATCCATAACTGCATCAGTGTAATGTTGCGGAGACTCGTTATACGTCTGCGATATTGCGCGCAACAGCTTCGAATGACTGGATACACGAGTGAAAAGTGTTGTGTGAAATATCGCACCAAATGTTGCACCGTATGCCCGGGCCTTGCAAGGGTGTAGTGTGTCCTGGCCACAAGTTTGCATTGTGTATCAGGGTTCGCTCTCATGATATTTCCGCGACATTTTCTCGGTTTTTGATCACCTTTAGAACTAGTCCTGATTACTTATGTCAATATTTTACTAAAGCTATCAAAAATATTAGAAAAGTAAATTACGAAATTGATCTTAGCTAACGATCAGATGTAATCGAATACTGTACACGACTTTTTTAAAATACGCTGCGTAGCAGGCGTATAAAGGGGAGGGGGTGGGGGAGGAGGAAGAGAAATCCTCCGTTTTTCCCCCCGAATTCTCTCCTCCTCCCCACCCCCTCCCCTTTATACGCCTGCTACGCAGGGTATTTTTGAAATGTCAGTATTCTAAAACAGGAGGTAGCTTTGTTTGCTGTTGAGTGTGAAAAGTTAATTTAGTTAGATTACAGACTGGAATGATTGAATCAAAGCTAAAGATCACAAAAACAAAATAACAGATTTTATCAGGTTAAAATTTTGGAAAAAATGGAGAGTCCAAAGCGCCAGAAATTACCATTTGTTAATAATTGAAAATTGACTAAAGAGTAAAAACCCGCAGGTCGGCGACAGGAGAGGTGGTAACGACCTGGTTACGAGGACTTTTACAGTTATCTGAAGGTCCTGAAGTGTCGGTGCTGGATGGTGAGGAAAACTTAATAGCTTGATAGTTCTCGCCTCCATCCTAATGTGATTAGTCTTGTCTAAAAGCCCGGCAATAAAGGTGCAACATTTCAACGCAACATATTGCGAGACGGTTATGCACGGCAATAAAGGTGCAACATTTCAACGCAACATATTGCGAGACGGTTATGCACGTGAACATGTTGCACATGTTTGGCTACCCTGTTGACAATCCCGGCAACATCATTTAACAGAACGGCCAAACGTGCGTACCAATCGTGCAATATGTTACATTGAAATGTTGCGCGCGTTTGGTTAGCACTGAAGTGTTTCGTACAGCTAGCAAGACTGACCTAGCGGATTACAGCATAAACAGCGTGCCCTGCACGACTATAAATTTTATGTCGGCCCATAGAGTTTGCGAATTTTGAATTAGCTTTCAAAGAATGTGTGATATGACAGCACGCCTCTTAGTTGTTACGCAGTGGTCATCTCACCAGAACTCTAACACAATAACGAATGATTGGCACCACAGACCATGTATGTCATAGCTAAATGCACCTAATCAAACTTTCAAGAATAAACATTCCGTCTCTGCTCGCGAGTTTTTTTCTTTTTTTGCATACAAAATCAAAGGGCTCATTAGACTACCTATATGATATCCTGTTATTTTTTATTTTCCTTAGAAATAGAGAAGAATCCGGCTCCAAAAAGCAGTGGGTTTAATGGTCTAATTTTAAGGGCTTTATTGAATTATGCAAATTAAAAGAAACGATGCAATTTTCATGGCAACCAAATTTTCGATTTACTATAAATTTCTTTCTCAGAAGAAATCTAACCAGCAATCCACTGGATTTTGGAGGCAATTTTTTCACTTTTTCAAGCAGTAAGATAACCAAAGCCAACAGCTGAAATTACCGTAGCGAGATAACCGGCTCAGAAGAGAAAAGCACTTTGACAACTCAATCAGCCAAAAACAATCTTTCCAATACGCTTCTTCTTCGTCAACCTTCTTTTTAATGTAGCATTTATGTTTAACTTTGTATTGAAATATACTGTTGCTTTTTTATGGTACTAACTAATGTCACTAATTTTGAAGTGTGATACATATCTTTCTGTTTAAAACAACGTCGGGACAAATGCTTTCCGTAAATTTCATCTCCATAATAACAGTTTCCTTGTTCGGTTGAAAAATATCTTTATGGAGATCGTTAACGGAATCAAAAGACTGTAAAGTTGGTAAAATTAAATCGCAAAATATCGCACTTTTTTTACTTTATGTTTGCTCTTTGTGTACGTCGATTCGCGATTAATTCAGCTCCAAGAATTACGAATATAGAAGAGTTTTATGTTCCATCAGTTTTTATTTTCAACACAAAATCCGTGGCAGGCATTAGGTCAGGAACTAAAATGCAAATTAACATTTCTGTTAGGAAAGGTAGCGACTTTTGGTTGTCGATCGCAATAACTCGGAAATGTCAAGTACATAATGTGTCGAGCGTATTGAAATTTTGCCAGCTGACAGAAACCTTCAATTGCTGCTGCCAGGATTTTTTTTTTTTATCAAAAGTAGACCTTCAAAATGACAAAAGCAAAAACAAGTAGTACAAAAACACCTTGCCTCAGTTAAATTATATATTCAACTACGGATTGAGCCTTATCAGCATTATTAAATTCATGTATGCGGAAACAAAGAAGAAAAGTGAGAAAACTCGCCCAATTTAATTGAGGCTCCGAATTGTCGAAGGGGAATTGACTACACGTTGACAATGAAATGGCAGTATTTGTTTAAGGGTGCTCTTTAATTCCGGCATCTGAAAACTGAAAATACTTAAGAGAGACCACCTTTTGTTATTGAGTTTCAGCTTATTCCAATAAAAGAAAGTTTGACGTTTTTGTGTTTTTCATTTCAATTTTTTTCCTGTCATTTTTTGGCGCCTACGCGACTTTGCCTCTCAGAGCGCCATTTCACTTCTTTAAAAACAAAAAATAATTCACTTATTTTTTTGGACCAACAACTTAAGTCGTTTGAGAGGTAAATAGGGAACAAACTAAAAGGCAAAATTCGCGAGAACATTTTCAACACCTTTGTGAAGGCTAAACGATGTACACGTTAAAGAATCAAACAGTGCGTAGGAAGTTGATAATACAGATAACTTTCAGCAACGCACGTAAGAAAATAATATTAATTTTGTGTTATTGGCACCCCACCGAAGTATTTCATACACTGATGGGTTTTCTCGGCTTTAAGTTCTGCATCAAAGAGCAGATGTTTTCTATAGAGCCCTGCCAATCATTTTCATGCAGTTTATTATTCCGTATATAACTAGGGACGAAAATCATTTGCATTCTTATAAGTTTTTGTTCTTTTCGAGGGTCCAAAACTTCCTTCAGTTTTACGTGATGAGGTTTAAAGTGGAATAAAAGAGCGAAGTAAGTTGATAGAAGAGAGGAAGAGAGATGGTATTTGCAAATAGCGCGCGACCCTTTGTTAATGATGTGACCTCCGTGCTCCGCGAAAATCGCCGTTCTCCATTTAAGGAAAGCTCTCACCACAGGTGCAACGAAATCAACCGTTCGCGTGGAAGTTGTCGCTGACTAGAACGAATTCTCGAATTTGCTGCGATATAGCAAGCGCATAGTAAGATCAAAACGTACAATTGCATTGGCTGAGATCGAGTTCTAGCTCCACGACGCACGGAGCTGCCGCCGAAGCTTGCTGCATCGATTTCCAAGCCGAATCGTCTAAATGTATAATTCGCTCGCGCTCCGCGTTGATGCCAGGGAGGCAGATGTAAATAATTCACGGAATTATATCTGTCAAATGCCGAGCTTTCGTTAATTAATGATGACATGCACTTTGTGGAAGCAGCTGCAACAGCTGCCTGAAGGTCCCGGATGTGCAGGTGGTGATTCGCCGCGAGAAAACTCCTCGATTCGTTACGCCTTTACGTGCAACAGAGGTTTGTTGGCGAGACAGTCGCGCATAGTCTTCAATACAAGGCCTTTTTTCCGCTGTTTTTTTCTATTCACCGAAGGGTCAATGAAATTCGTCGGCGGAATGCATCACCATAAATACAACGGTATGAGCTTTTTTTTTTTTGTCCTAAATGAATTTGCCATTGAATTTTTTTTCCCGTGCATTTATACCTCACCCACGATTTTGTAAATATATATTTTTATGAAATTCATTTTCGCTGATGGTTACCGGATCATAGTGAAAAAAATTACATATAGTATTTCAAATTTCGTTCAATTTTCGGTTTCACCCTATGAATTTATTTATTTCTTCAAGTAACCGGGATTTTTTTGTTTTAAATTGGAGGTAAAATATCACGTCGCTGTCATATATTTGTGGAATATATATTTTTTCGCATCGCTGGGAAAGCAATTACGGCCTACAGTTGGCCTTGTTGAACGGCTCGCCGCCCCAGCACCACTTAGAAAGACTTGTGTAAATAAAACATAAGTTGTCAGTGGAACGTTTCGACAGGAGAAAACAGCTCGCTTTCTTTAATGTCCCTCGGTGAGTGGCTGAAACAGATGTACACACGATACAATAACTACACCAACAATCAGACAATTTGCACGTGCGGAATTCGACCAATCACAATCGAGCATGCATTGCCGGGTTTTACCGGTTATCGTTTTCCTCTTGTTCAATTCATCAGAGACACGACAAAAACAATTTAAACAGGCCATTTTTTCAGTTTTTCGTTTTTGCATTTTTGAACTTCATTTACTCGCGATCGTTTTCGTGTTTTGAAAGTCATGCGATCATTTTGTTTTTCACACAAGTAGGGATCACGTTACACGGAAACGCAGTTCGAATTCGGCCGAAATAATTATTCCTTACGGGGGCACGTGTGCGAGAGATCTATTTTAATGAATCTGAGCTTAATTATTTATTACTTTAGCAACTGAAAAGCTTTTAAAGCATATGGTTTCTTTAGTTCTGTAAAACATGAGGCGGATAACGAAATCTCTTTGGTTTTTCACCGTGTTAAAAGTAGCTAATCCTCGACATCACAGATTATCTCTTAATTTTTTTAATCTTTATTTTATGTTTTACAACAAAAGAAATCTTGCTCTGTCCTAAGGTGTCGTAGCATCTGCATTGGAACCCAGGCTCTCAGTATTTCTTAGCAACGGCGCTTGATTACCATATTTAGAAACGCAAACAATGGTGCGAGGGTCTGGGAGTGCACCTGCTGGTATCGAGTCGCTAAATTCCCGTATGCACAGCTGTTTACAGTCGCTTTATACCACCTGATAGTTGATAAGGAGTGTTATCTCCTCGCAAATATTGCATATTGTGTTTGGAAGGCGGCTGGGAAAATCTCGGAGAATCGAGCGACAGAACACATTTTCGGTTTTCTATGCAGATTCACTTGGGATCGCATTTTTCTGTGCCTTTTTCATTACCGAGCAAAAAATATTGCAATAAAAATGAAGCTGCTTCCGCACGGAGTCGATATCAATTTGTGTTTTTGCTTTTCAAACAAGAAAATGAAAATTGAAATTACTTTTGTGTTGGTGACAGCTAGTTAAATATTAAGCAAGACATTTGGTGATATTTTTGCAATGAATAATATCTTTCCCACGAAAAGGCCTTTCCAGTTTGGAATAGGCAGCGCTTTCGACTGAAATTTCACATACTTAGTTTATTTTTTCCACAGTTCAATAGACCGTAAGGTACGCGCTAAAGAAATATGATAAACAATACTTAAAAATATCCTCTGATATTTTATACGTCAGCTTTACATTCATTTATTCATAACACCCGGTTCACGTGACCCACTCCATGACGTCACTAATTAATTGCTTCACCGGTGGCTGTGTTACTCGATGGGAGTCAAACTAAAGGCCCTTTCTGGCGTAGCAAAGACTTGGTTATGCCGGCTGTTACTTCAGGTATTTTCCTATATATTGCTCATATTCCATAGCAGTGGACTGCATTCATTGAAGTTGTGGTTTCTCGGAATCGTTTGTGTTGCCGTTCGTGAAATTTTCAAAGCGCCACCTTGAGTAATGTAGTCACTGTTGACGAATTTCTTTTATGGCGTCGGATCTTGCTTCGCTGTCTATTGTTTTGTTTAGCGATGGATTACCAGAAGGACTCCGGAATACGCTTGGTTATCTTTCTTAGATTTGAGGATTTGTTTTGAAAGGATCTTGACTTTGTAAGACCATCTTAGACGTTGAGTTCGTTGAGATGCAAAATCAAATGTCTTTCAATGCTTGCGCTGTTTAGACGGAGCCATGAGCTTTTATTTATTTATGTTTTTGGCGAGAGGAACGACCCAGCGTTACCAAAATTTGTTACAAAGACTCAGAATGCTAATTTTAAACGCGAGGTATGTCTTAGAGACTTTGGCGGTTTTGTCAGGTAGAATTGCAAGTCCTGATTTTTTATACGTACGCTTCATTTTCGCAAAGGGTAGTTAGCGAACATGTCGAGTTATTAAATCTCTTTCTTTGGTGAATTAGAATATGATATCCCAAGGTTTAGCTTTCTATTTCGCGCTCTCTCTGTAGGTTTGTTTGTTACGAGGCAGGAATCCTTCGATTCTTGGGTGAAAAGTTAAACGATTCGATCCTAAAACACATGTTTCTTTTTGTGGAATAAGGTAGCGATGTACTAGTTGCAGGGTGACACACTGTTTCTTTCGCCATAAGTAGTAACATGTGTATACTCTAAGTTAAACTCGTACCGTTTCAGTATGTTTCTCAATGAATCTTTTGCATTTTCGTAATGTCATTAGAAACCCATGATGACAGTGATGCGTATTTTCTAGGTCATCTATGGAGATTAGAACAATCTTTCTTCTTTGCTTGTGAAAATAAATCATTTTCGTGACTTATTTATTCACAGGATCTTTTGTGGCGAAATTTGTTCAAGGTAGAGCGATGCTTAGTAAAAAAATAACTTCGGGTGGAAGTGTGTTGTTGGATTGGATTGTATTCGACAAACAAGGCGAGCCACTCGATCAAATCTAGTGGCGGTAATTTTATAAATGTAAATTGAAAACTAGTATTATTCCTATTATTTAACGATGTTTTTGTGTATGTACAAGAGGGTTGCTGTTGTAGAGTAGTTAGGGTTTGTCCGGATATTTTATCTCTGTATGCAAATAAGATTTCGGAAACCTATTTTCTCTAAAACTTATTTATGAATGAGAGACCATGCCAATATACTCTTTTGAATTTATGATGTTCAGTCAAGCAAGACTATTGTTTTGTGCGCAGAAATTTGTAGTCAATGATAAATATTATGACAACAACATTTCAGCCAGCTTAATTTTAATGGAAGATGCTTAGTTTTCTGGTCAGCGACCATGGGTTAAGTGAAATGTCAATCATTGTCTAAATCAAATTGTGTCTGGCATTCTCAGCAGTTATTAATGCATGTGACCAGTTGTTACATAACACATTTTTGATTTTTGATTTCATACATGGAAGTTATTGTCTTTTTTTTATCATTCATGCCAGGACAATATTGTAAAGCTTTTTAAATATATTGTATAATATGTATTGATGCATCTGGTAAAGAAACACAGCATATCAGCTACACTGTAATGAGTGTACAAAATTAGGCATAGATTTGTTGCAACTTGTAATTCATAGAGTTGGAATTATAGTTTATGATGTTGAAATTGATAAATTGTCATGAATACTTGAAATCAAACGTGATTTAAAAGATGAGCTAATTTTGCATTCTTCAGGATGACTTTATTTTTTTCTTAGAATTTCTATTTGAACACCATTCTAAAAATACAATCACTTAGGTTCAATCCTGGGAATTTTGTGGCTGATACATGTGCATGTGTATATAAATCTCTGCTCTTTCTCTTTGTTTGGTTAATTACGTGATAGTTGGGGATAATACAGGTGGTTCAGTTTGATGAATAAGGTCTATCAATCAGACAATCTGCACCAATTGTATACCTTAATCTACATGTGATAATCAACACTTTTTTAATTTCCAGCCTGTTTGTTTTCTACTCTTTGTAAAACTGTTCTTTTCTAGATTGTTTGGGTTAACCAGACTTGTGTCTGTCTGGCAGAATATAACTAGAAACTCAAAGACAATATTCACCAAAGTTCAGATATTCTAACGCACAATATTTATTTTGCTATTTATTTTGATTTGAAAGTGATAAGGCGATTTGAACTTTCCAAGTGTTTTTCTTTTGTGTGTAAATGTAACCAACAGAATTGTTCAGTAGCTTGTCTAAATGTTGTGGTACAACTTTATTCTTGGTTCAATATTAACTTTCTCATTGTTGTTATCTATGGAAATGTGTGATGCTGTCGTTTGCATTTAATCGTGAACATGTCACAAAAAACACGATCTAATTGGGCATGATTCGTTGCATGATTGGTCATAATTAATTTGAAGGGTGGCATACCAGCTATGTAAACATTTGACTCCAAAGTCCAACACAATATTGGTATTGCTTTATCAAATTATGAACGTGTTCTCACTAAGTGTGGATGAAACTTCAAACCAGGAGGTCCCTAGATAAAGGGAATCCCAGTTTGAAGCATATATAGTGACTGTACATTTTTTTGGTAACTCAGCAACAAAATACCAGTTGTGTTGGACTTTGGGCATGGGAGTTTGCGTTATGGTCTACCAAACTTCAGATGATTAATGAAGAATCATGCAATGTTTGACAGCTGTTTAGATCATGTTTTTTTAAGGTGCGTTTACACTTAGTTGCAAATGATGATATAAGTATAAACCAAAGGAAAAAATGAAATTGCACTGAGGCTGAAATTGAACCACAATATATTTTTGCCACTTTTTGGATATTTGAGTTGTATGCAGTTTTATTGAAACATTAATTCCAAGAATCAGTTTTTTAAATGTGACATGTATACACATGTATTGGGCTTCAGGATTTACATTAATTTTAATGCTGGTCTTCCACAGAAAGACATATTTTTTTTGCAAATATGCATGCTTTTTAACAAAACATATAATTGCATGTATTATAGGTTACTATTTAATTCACTTTCTTGACTCCCGACTAATTGTTTCTGTCCTTGAAGATAATGTTACAACTAAATAAAGAAAAAAAACCTCTGGTGAAGTATGGAGAGAGCATATGGTTTATTTTATATTTTAGGCTGGCCTGTAATTCTTTTGATAAACTGTCAAACTGTCATTGTCTTGCAGTAAAATTTCACCATACGAAGTTAAAAAACAAAACAAAACAAAACAAAACAAATGTGCAGCCATACTGTTCTTGTGGTCTAACCTTCTGCAAACAAATGTTCTTGGGTACTGAGGAGAAATGTTCAAGATTATTCTGGGGTTCCAAAAACTATCCATACTCACCCCATGGAAGGGGTGGGGGGTCTCAAGCCAAAACTTTGGAAGAAAAGAATGAGGCTCAACTGGAATTTCTGTAGGTTTTTGTTGTTGTTGTTGTTGTTGTTTGGGGGAGGGGGAATCCAATCCAACAACCTTCGTGAGGGAGAGTGTGGATATTTTCTGGGACAACACAGTGGATAAAGACGTTGATGTGCTGTTGAGTGCAGCTGAAAGTTCAGTACTTTGAGAGTTTCTTGTTAGCAGAGGTTTGATTTTAATGCTTTCAAAAGAGAAAGCATATGGTAATTTTAAACTAAGAGGATGTTTGTTGATGTTACAGATTTAAGAGAGGCAAGCATGCCGGATTCACCAACAGACCCAGCTGCTCATCCCCCTCAAGGACCTCCAGTGTCATCCCCAAATGCAAACCCTTCATCTGTACCAGTGGTGGCTGATGTAAGGTCACTGTCTAATAATTCCACCTCACCAGCTGTCAATGGTGTTCACACCAGTCCCACAGGACCAGTTTCCCCAAGTAGTATTGGGAACAGCGTGACGCAGCTGCCTCCAGCTTGTGGTGCACGACAGCTGAGCAAGTTGAAACGGTTTCTGACAACACTGCAACAGTTTGGTTCAGACATATCCCCAGAAATTGGTGAAAGAGTCAGAGGACTTGTGATGAATCTTGTGGTATGTGTTAACTGTTTAAAAAATTCTTGCTTCACAGTGCATGGGCTTGGGTTGGCTTGTCGTGTTTCAGAAGTCAGGTCTTACATGTAAATTAATTTTCCTTGGGGTTTTCAGAATTATATAATTTGTAGCTTATCTGAATGGTTTCCACTAACTACTAACAAGACATACAACGTATACGAAGTGGAACTCCAGACGTTAAGGGCTGTGAAATCTGGTCATTCCAAGTTCAAGTAGTTTTAGAAATGTTGATACTGGGTGGTCTCAAAGAAGCCCTCAAAGAAGCCCTCAGCAAGAATGCTATTTTAACTAGCTCAACGCAATTGGGATATGTTTACAGTATTTGCCTTATTAGCATAAATACTCCAGTCTCTGACTGTACATTTATCTACAAAAAGTTCAACTCTGGACATTGAAAAGGCTTGAAATTTGAGCCTTTATGTGATTTGGGATTAAAAGTCAAACTTTCATAGTTGGAATATATGGGCTCATCATCACTTTTGCCATGCAGAAATTTTGCAGTTTTTGAAAGCCAATATCTCCTTGAATATTACACCCCAAGAAGCTAAATATTTCACCACTTCCTATGTTTCACGAGCTCTTAAAATGTTTGGAGTTAATTACTACCTACATGTAGCATGGTGCCTTCCCAAACCAAAGTTGAGAGTTGTACAGGGGGGGTCTCTGGCACGGTTCACGAACGGAAGAAATTTAGGATCATGGATAACGGATATAAAATTTCGTTTTCCCAAATCACGGCAATAAGCAAGTAAGATACTCTTTTTAATAATCTGCTCTTACACTAGAAACAGTGTTTGAAGAAAGCAAAATTGTAAAAAGCTAAATCAAGGGTCCATATTGCAAATCGTATACCTAAGTCACTCTCGATAAACGACTCTAACCATTCAGAGGACTTGCATCTCAAAATAACATAGAATAGGATGGTGAAATCACAAATATCGATTAATAATTCAAGTTCTTTACAGGTCATGGAAAACCTTCAGGTCACGGATCGCGAAGAATAATTTCCTAAATTCACATTTCACGGAAAATAAAATCAGCTAATCACGTATCACGAGAATACCCCTGTACGACCCTCAAAGTTGTATGCCTATGAGGCAAAATGGAAGCAATGATGTCAGCATTATACAGAGATAAACCAGATAATGATATGATGATGGTACTTTTGTACTATACAAGTTGGCAGAGTTTCGTATAAGCTTTAGTCTCTTCTTATTTCAGAACTCAACAATATCCATTGAAGAATTCCATGCTCAGCTACAAGAAGCTACCAACTTTCCTCTTAGGCCATTTGTTATCCCATTTCTGAAGGTATGTTTTCCAGAGCTTTTACGAATCAGATCAATGTACAGTGTACATGTAATTTGCACAGGCTTATATTTGATACTAGGTTTACCTTGTGTATTGTGACAAATGTAAAACCTTCTTAATGAATGGCTGTTGGTAAATTTATCATTGCAATTTGCCTGGTGATTTTTGTGTGTTTATACTATACTACTCTGATCTACATGTAAAAAACAAGATTTCTGTAAAATTATGAACAAGAACAGATTGTTTGGGAGAGTGCTTACAGTTTTGTGGCTTGAAATTGTACATGGTGTGAAGTTTGATTTCACTACAACATCTCAATTTATTAGTTTGTGCAGTTACATGTAAAGTTGTAATTTAATCGCAATTTCTACCGAAGAGAAGGAACCCTAGGTTTGGCTGGAACACAAAAGTCAAGTGTCTAAAACCTAGTGATCACTTTATATGTATACTATGGCACAAGAAAAATTCATTTGTTGAGGGCTAGTGATCATCAGACGCTTTGTTTGTTTTTAAATGTTTAGTGTAGGATTTTTCATCCAGGAAGGATTACTAGTAATGTTTTCGAAATTATTTTTGTGTTAATATCAGTTTAGTGATAGTGTTGCTATCAATCAGATCCATATTAGTATTGAACAGTAACATGTTTATGTCATTTAATTTTTAGGCAAACTTACCATTGTTACAAAGAGAACTGCTTCAGTGTGCACAAATGGCAAAACAGACTCCTCCACAATATCTGCGGCAGCATGAAGACATTTTAAGTGAACGTGATACAACACCCTTGGATCCAGAGGAGCTGAATCCTTTAGAAATAAATGAGAATGGAAAACGGAAGGCTTCTTCTGAAGGCATGAGGTGCAATAATTTGAATTTTATAAGTTATCTAGTCCTATTCACTGAGATATTTAATTTTGCCAGCACTAAGAAGTTTAATACTCAGAAATGTGTTGAATTCAAGTGCTACTGTATGATGACAGTATAGAGTTGAAGAGCTGTAGGCTACCTAGCAAACAAGCCATTTAACTAAGTTGTAGCCCTGTTACATTGTAAGAATAATAAGGGTAACATGATCTTGTCATTTCTTACAGACCTAAAGAAAATGGGGCCCCTCCTGACTTAGCCATGGTAAGTTGGATGAGGATTGATTATATTTAAACCATCCATCTCCTTTCCCTTATGGACAATGCTGGATTTACACAGATTTATAACATTGCTGGAGCTTGTCTAATGATTCAAACTGAGATTTCTCCTCCTGTACTGTCATGCAGCACTATCTGACTCTAAAATACAATGTGATCATCAATTTTTAAATGATATGTTTGACTTTCTTTTGTAGCAAATGATGGCAGAGTTAGGAAAGCCAATACCGAAGAGACCATGTTTGAGTAAGTATACCAGTATAAAGAATGTACAGTGTTATGTGTAACTTACAGCACCTTTTTCCTTCTCCCATCATCATACATCCCATAGTTATTTTTTAGTTATGTAATTCCTCTTGCTTGCAAGCTGTAAATTGCTTTTATGGCAAAATGGTTTTAGTTAACGGTGTACAAGTTGTTTGTAAAATCTCTGTTCTGGATAAATACCTGTCTAAAACAGCCTCTTAAATAATTATTATGTTCTGTTTGCTAGTAAATTAGATTTGAAAGTTTAGCACACCATCAATACCCCTCATGGTTGACCCTGATCACTCAGCCATACTGACTACATTTTATCATTTTTTGAGCTAATGATTGTTTTTCTTACAGGCAATAACAGTGGCCTCAGTAAACCAAATCAGTTAAGAATGGAAGACATCACAATGCCACAAGGTACTGTAATATTTAACAAAACTTGAGTGATTTTTGCATGTAGTAATATGTATGTTATAATTCTGAGCTATCATCATGTGCACTGAGGTAAACTTTCAGTGGCTTCTTACCTGCATGTAGATGTAGCTATGCAATATACTTTGAAGTCATTTATTGCTTTGTCCAAAATGTCTTCAAATTGGAGGAAACTGCCACGTGATAGGTTACCAAAGAGGTGACAATAATTCCTAAAATGATGTAGCCAAAAAATAAGAAGACTTGTTTTGCCTGGGAAAGAGAGGCAAAAAAAAATTCTTTACTGATCAGATAGAACTACACAGGTTCATTGCATACACGAGTTTCTCAGAGATGTGATTTTTGAACATTTACATGTACAGATGTTATCATTTGGCTTGAAACATAGACATCAATAGACATTTCTTACATGCAGCAAGAAGTAAATACCTTTTTTGGGGGCTTAAAGCCATCAAGGATGGTGCTTGAAGATTATTTTGAGATAATAGTTATTTATCATGTAATAATAAAACTAATAATAGTAATTCACACAGGTGCAATGAAAAAAAAGGCCAAATAATGCACTTTGTAAGTTTTTTTTTTCATGACCTGCCTTCTCATATTTTTTTGTAACATGGTAAAGAGAAGTCAGAGTTTCATCATTATGTATTATAGTTTTGTTGCTTATTTCACAGCAGGCAGCTCACGTGATGGTGAACCTACAATGCCAGAGGCACTGTTAGACAACAAACATGAAATGGATGATTGGAGACATGTAGACACGGTAAGTTTATTTATTCAGTGAAGGGAAAATACACGAATGAGAAGAAAGGAAGAGCCGTAGGAAATGGCCAGAGGCCCAAGAAGAAGCTATATAAGACATCATAACAAGTTGGTTTTACAAGTCCTTGCAAACTCACGGATAATTATGGCAACTTTGTGAGGACTGTTTCACACTAGTATTCCTGACTGAAATACACGTTCAGTTCTGAATGGTCACTGTACTTAACTCTAAATTGCTGCTGTTTGCGCATCTTCATGTATGCAACAGGTTTGATGCAATGCAGCACAATATCTAGGTACAGCTGTATGCAGAGAGGACATCCGATCAGTTGACAGTATAAACATTTTTACGTGTACAAGTTGATAGTAGAATGCTACCAAATCCTTCCTCTATAAGTGGGTTACAACCATTACTGAGAGATTCAAATGAAAAAGACCTTAGTGGCCATGTTGTATGACAGGAAAAAATAACGCTAATTAGAATGTTTTGTTAGAGCGGTTTTCCGTTGAGTGTCGAAAGTAATTAGACAATTACTGTGGTTTTGGTTTTGGTTTTGGTTTTACCTCAGTTTGAGATTAGCTGAGAAATCTAATTGGTAAGTAATTGGTTTTGGTTTTGGTTTTACGACGCTCAATTGAAAACCGCTCTAATGGTCATCCAACATGCTATGGCGGCGATGATGTCATTTGCAAACGATCTATGGCCCATTCCACAGCCTAACTCTGTTACCTTTGATTTGGATCGTCACGCAATCCTCGTCTCCTTTATTGCGTGACGTCTCAAATAACTGCTCTGTCAGATATGCAACCCAGTCTGAATCCTCTGCATTGTTTTTAATAATCTTGTGTGGTTTTCAGATGCTGCAGTGCATAATTGGAATGGTTGACAAGACCAAGCGGGCCGTGTCAGTCCTTCAACAACGCTGCGGTCAGGACCGGGAAGAGCTCTTGGCCTGGGCACGAAAAACAGCCGAAGAAACGGAAGCGGAAGTGAAGAGGAGAGCAGGTATGTGTAGCATATCTCCTAAGTGATCGGGGCAGCGCATGGCATTCTACATGCGCAATCACGGGTACCATAATTTTACCTCTTTAATCTTGCAGTTAACGAATCCTTACAATGCTGATCCAAGGTTTCACAAGAAACGATTTCTATCTGCCCGACAGAATTCATGTTTTGGCTTTTTGTGATCATCTGTACTCTCCTGTAATATTTGAACATGTTTTTTTGTTGAATCAATCCAATACTTATTTCGTTTTTCAATTAAAAACATGACCTAAAATAGTCCCTCGTTCATGTTGTTTCAGGGGAACTAATGGCGAAAACGCTCAAACAGACGGAAGAACGCGTAGCAGAAGTAAAACGTCGAGCGGAGGAAGCTGTGAGTGACGTGAAGAGACAAGCAGTGGTGGAACTACAGAAGGCAGTTCGTGCGGCCGAGGAGAAAGCCAATGAGGCGGTAGCTAGCGCGCATGGCAAAATGGAGAAAGCTGTCTTAGAGGCCCGCCGGCAGGCCACTGAAGATACTTTAGCTATGTCAAATCATCAGAGTGACTCAAGCGAGGTAGGGCACATTTTGCAGTTATTCCGTTTTATAAACTCAGTCATTGATACCGTTTATTTCGCTAGCAAGTTGAGATCTAGTACCCTCGAGATTGCCTTGACAGTTCGATGCTTCTGGAGCAAATTAGTAGGTAGTTTACAGAAACGTCATTCTTAACTACTCTATTGCGGCGACAACTCGAAATTATGCAAGGCAGCTAAGTTTGTGTTACTTTAGCCTGCATGCAGACGTCTAATATACCCTTTGTTTCGATCTGGACAATTTGGCAAATCGAAACTAGAAAATCCTGGTTCCAGTTTGATCGTGCGCATGCGTTCAGGTTCAAAATAAATGGTTTTTGAACATGCGTAGAGAGAGTAACCGCTGTGACTCTTCCGATTTCGCCTAGAGGTCTCGATTCTTGGTGCTGACCTAAAGGGTCGCGGCCTCTGGAAACGAGATTGATGCTTATGGGGATATTCGTTGTTCTTCCCGTAGAGTTGTTGGAATTGCGGTCGAAAGGCCACTGAAACATGTAGCGGCTGCAACGTGGCGCGGTACTGCGGTCCGTTTTGCCAGCACAAAGATTGGGAAAATCATCATCACGTGTGTGGACAGCAGGCTCAGGCCAGCGGCGAGGAGAATCCGCAGGGAGGAGGAGGCCCTCAGCCCGCAGGTTCACCTAAGGATTCCACTAACACTACCAGTCCCGCTGTCACCAGAATGACCACGCCCACCTCAACTTCGGATCCCATCTCGTCTCTTAGTGATTACGTTATGAAAACCCCCTCCACGTAGAACAGGCTAGTGTAGGATAAAACAGTGGTGAATTCGCGTTAGGGCTAAAAACAGTTCGTGTTGACTCTCCCTGGCGGGAATTGAAGTTTTCCCCAGGGAAAGTCTCGCTTGTTGGTCGAGAGTACGTTGAACCGTCGGGAAAATGTGATTTTTCTTTGCACATGAGCGTGCCTGATTCTCTCGTGATCTTTTTGCTTTGCCCTTCGGTGGTTTCGTATTCGATTGACGGGCTTAAGCAACTTCATCACGAAATATCATGGTCATGTGTAAGCAAGGAATGTAGGAATAACCTTTAACACAAAATAGAATTCAGTAGTTGCTGCTGTCGCTGAAGGCCAGTTCGTAAATCGATTTGCCGATAGGCGGGCACGTATTGCAATTAGCGAAAAATTGAAGGCGCTGCTTATTCAACTCCGTACGTGGGTAATAGTTTCACACTAATTAGTGCTTGTAGAGAACCCCCTCTATGTCTACCACCCTAACATTGAATAAACAGAAAGTAACAAATCTCCATTCACGATAAGAGAACAAGAACATTGGGACAATTCATTCAGACCCTGGGAACGCGAGACTTTTGTTTCTTCGTGACGTATGAGGTCTCACTGCTTCCTGCGAACACAGCGTTGGAAGTTGCTGAATTTGACGTAGTAAAATACAGTTAAATTTTCATACATCACAGACTGATTGCCCCTCAGTAGGTTTACCCCAATCGGTAAGCTTACTTGAATTTGTGGTTCGTGGACAACTTTGGCTTGATTCTGTTTGTATTAGTGCTCTAAGTTGAGTTAATCGCAGTAAATAATTTTGCCCAGGGAGAATATTTAAGAAGGCCATATGAGGCCTCGTCTAAAATTCCGCAGTTTGGAGGCGGGGTCCAGTGAGCTTAAAATGTCATTGGGTGCACAAGATTTTTCCAGTTTGGTTCTTTTTCAAAGGTATTTTGTTCGAATTTTTTAAGCAAAGCGTGCACGAAGACCGCGTCCTATACACCCGTATTAGTTTTAAATTAGCGCCATGTTGCAAACGGAATGTAATTATGTACAGGAATTTACCCTTCTGTGAATTTCGTTAGTGTCAGCATAATTCTCCTCGTCTGAAATGTCTTGCCATCGTAAATTTCTACTAATCGTTGCTTCTTTGTCGGGAGCATAATGTTTAGGTGAATTTTGTTCATTAACAATTGATCGGCTGTCTGTTATAACAGTATCATATAACTCTTGTAAATATCAAATAAACTCGACCATGTCTACGTTGAATCTCTCTCTTAGCATGCGCTACTTGTATGTAGATCTCAAAATGTGTCGTACCCGGTTCTTTTTTGTAGCACGGGATAGGACTAACTAAGTACGGTTTTATACATTATGTTCACTTTTTTCACTATTATGCGCTTGATGCCCAAAAATCTCACCATAATGCTTGAAAGGCATCCCTATTATGCTCCATTATTCTCACATGAAAAGCCTAATATTTACCCTTGATGTTGTTATTCTGAAGCATGAACGACGCCTTCATGTAATCCTCCATTCTAGCTCGGTTATTGCGAGACGAGTTCACGCTAGTTATGAAGAAAATCGCTCTGATGTATCAGAGGCATGTGCTGTGTGCACTGTAAAGCCAAGTGACCAGGCCTGCTGAAGGCCCCCAACCCGCAGCCAGTACTTGGTTAATACTACAATTCCGACATACTGCTTGATTCTTTTGCCTCACTTTTATGCTCGAAGTAATGCTGTCATAATGTGTAAAACCCTACAACTAAGGCCAGATACGATGACGTATCCCTATATAGTCATAATGTTGCAACACTTCAATATGCCTCCCAAATAAGGCAACTTAGGGACATTCGCGGGAAAATTTTCAAACACTGATTTTTTTCTGATACTTTTACCACTAAGATGATGAATTAGTATAGTTATGTCAGAAATGTAAAAAAAAAAAANTTCGGCGGAGACAAGCGACAGCCGGAAATACGTCTGCGTTCGCAGGCTAAGTGCTTGCAATGTTCATTGAAATTTTCTAACCACCAAAGTAGCCTCAAATACCATTGCAAAAAAAAAAAAAAAAAAAGGGGGGTCACCAGGTCACCGACTTCGTTTCGGAGCTAGGCCTAAGAGAACATGCCCGGAATAACACCCTAAATCTGAAAAAATCACGCTTCGTTAGCGAATAAGGCCACAGTGCCTGTTCTCTGCCAAATATTGTTTAAGTAGACCTATTAAGTGAATTTAGTCAACTGGTGAGGTTCCTTAAAGAACAAGTTCGCATATAGTGACTAGTTTCATGAGCTTTGCAGCCGCCGTGGACAAAAATCTTGAAATTTTTTTTAATTTCCCACATCGCTTTTTTTGTTCATTTTTGGACAATGTGGAGGTAATTGTAAATAAAATCTGTTTCTGGAAAGAAAAGAGTGGGTCACCGAACGTGCAAGATCGTTAAATCCAGGCAAAGCTATAGCAATGTCGATCTGTCCTATCATGATCATTAGGCTTATTTAGCAAGAGAACGGGAACGTCACTTGACGACGGCGCGCGCAGTACAATACCCAAATACGGTCAGATGACGACTGCAGGGCGCGCTGAATAACCTGGATTCTGTTCTAATTTGACCATATTTGGGTATTTGTACTGCGCGCGTCGTCGTCAAGTGACGTTCCCGTTCTCTTGCTAAATCAGCCCTGGTCATTTTATTACTTAGTGCACGCTCTCATGCATGACGTGGTGTTAACAAATTGACGTCAGTTTTTTACGCGTTTATCCTATTAATGATAAATTGCGTCACAACATTGTCAAAGTGGCTGTGCAACCACAAGCCGCAGGCGAGTGGTTCCGCAGTAAACTTTGACAATGTTATGACGAAATTTATCATCAATAAGAGGACAGACGCATAAGAAACTGGCGTCAATTTGTTTTTTACAATAACAAGACCCCAAAATGGCCAAATGTCGGGATAAATGTAGGGGAAAAGACGCCGTAAACTTGCCGTAAACAAAGATAAGTGAATTTTATTCAAAATGACGCGAACATTGTCAATAGCTTTTCTCGCTTTTTGATTGGCTCCTTAAAAAAGTCCATAAAATATCATCGGTTAAAAAGTTGACAGTTTGACAGCTGAAAGTTGAACTTGCAAGCTCGCATAAATTAACATTTTATCCGCCTGTACTCTTATTGATGATAAACATGAGCCATCAGCGCGCGGGAAATTAGACAGTTATTGTAAAATGTGAATTTGCTTGCGCAGTAAGGGCCGGATACGCAGAAACAATTAGCGCGAACGTCCTTAATACAGAACTACTGCAAGCGTCCAGAGCGCTGCCTTAGTCTCACTTCCAGGCGCTCGCTGTGCTAAATTACTTTTGCACGTGTTCCAAATGTGTATGAAAAAAACACCGAGTCGTTAGGCATCCTACCTTTGTTTCACACACTTTTCACCATTACATGCATGTTTCCTCTTTTTAGGGGTTAATTACTAGAGGAGGAGCTGTTTTATCAAGGGTTGGCGCTTAATTGAATCTTCAAGTTTACCAGGTTCATGCTTTCGTGAAGTCAACGATGAAAACGAAGAAAACGATGCCCTTTGGACACGTTGCGTGCCTATGTTTGCTTGTGAACTTGTTTTTGATAGTCGCATTATGACATTTCTATTCTTAGCGAACTTGAACCAGCAGAGCGTGGCCATTACTGATATGAAGCGAATAACGACCTAGAAACATTTTATAACTCCTCTCTGGAGAAAAAAAACATTGATATTTCGATTGAATTTTCACTCCAGCAGATGTTACTAGATATGGAAGTAGAACTGAAATGGCGAAAGTTTCTTAAGACTTTTCCGCGTTTGTTCATTCATCGTTTACATATTCTTCGCTTGGTTGATTCTTGAAAATATTTGCGAGGAGACAATTTACAGCTTGTCCGAAAACGCTTTTCTCGCCAGATTCCCAGTCGCGTGACTTGATCTCAAAATGATCCACAAAGCCGTGATCTTTACAGAACTGATCCAGCGCTACCTCACTCTCAAATGTCTTTCCAGGCCCAATCCACCGTAGTGGTTCCTTACCTACGTTGTCTGTGACAAGAACACATGGAATTGATGGGCAAAACTCCTTTACCTTCTCTCTCCATCTCACCGCTTCATCCAGCGAAGATGGGCGACGCGTACCCCAGAAAACTAACGCGCCATGACTGTTTCTGAAGTATACCTTAATGAAGTTTCCAAAGCGTTCCTGCTCGGCAACTTCCCAGAGTTGCAGCTTGATCGACAATGGCTTCTCGGTGTCGCTTCTTCGCCATCTAATTGTTTTTAAATAAAAATTCGCGCCGATTAATGGCGAGCGATACGTCTGCACTGGAGGCCACACTTGAAGATAATCGTCGATAAACACCCCTTTGGTCCCTACCCCGGCAGTATAGCCACCTACACATACTATTTTCAGGAGCACTTCTCCCAAAGCATCGCTTTCGATCGTTGGTTTCTCCGGCGGGATGTTAGTTTTAAACGTTTGCATCTCCACTTCTCTTCCAAGAGTATTTAAACATGTGTCATTAGCCTCTTCTGGCAACACATAGTTTGAAGCCATAGTGGAGAGGGATCCTTGACAAATACGTAAACAGATACGCAGAGCGAGAGAAGGTCCGTATTTCCGGTTTTTTCAGCTGTGTTTACGACGATCTTTGTGACCTCTTAGCATCTATTTGCTCCCTTCTTTGTACTTAGTCAGTACCATTACAAACATAAACAGGGATTAAAGGTTAGAATGCAGAGGCACCTTTCTTTTTAGGCAAGTTTCCCTTGCTATCCCTTGTTTGTGCTATTATATAATAAGTCGACTCATGTAGCCTCATGTGCCACTTGGCACGAAGTGGACAGGTAACAACTTGATACCGCATTTTGATTGGTTCTTAATTATGGTCTATTGGAGGACAGACGCATAGATGACGTCATTAACATTCTTTTTTCAGTGTTTCTTTATTATATAAAACAAGTGATTCCAAGTTGCCGTCCGTCTGTTCAGTAATAGATCACAGAAGACGTGAAAATGTGGTAAGAACATCAGAGACACTCGCCCGTAAACGGCTTGTGTGAGTCACTTTTGTTCTTACCATATTTTGACGTCATCTGCGATCTGATACTGAACAGACGTACGGCAACATGGAATCTATTTGCTAAATAGACTGTAGGCGAGGTTCCCAATGCAGCTGTTGGAGGGAAGGAGGAGTGGGGGAGGGTTGATACGAGAATCCAAAGTAGGTTTCCTGCTCCGGATAAATTGCAAACAAAAAAGAAAAAAAAGAAAGAAAAAAACAAGAATGATTGAAAGATGGAACAAATCAAATCAATTCAAGTAATTTAATTACTTTCTCATTGGATATGCTTTGGAATCCACTGAACTAAGCGTTGTACCATGAGGAGCATAAATTAATTACTAGTCACGGTGTACAACACACTCAAACATAAGTGAAAGCTATTACCTTACAAACCAGTACTGGTCGCTTGACACTAATCGAAAGCCCATACTTTGTTGTGGTTCAATTTGAGGCGATATTTGGGCCTTTAAAAGTTAAAAAAAAAAAAAACAGCTGAGAGGAGATGGGAAGTCTGACATCTCCAAAGGATGTACAATTATGGAATTGTTCAAGCTGGTCATGGTATGAAGTAAGAAATCATACTTAGTTATGCAATGATTCGGCGGGCATTTACCAAGTCTTAACCGTTACAAATATTTACCTTGAACCTACAAATGTATGTTAACCAAAATAATTCCCAGGGCCCCTAACTCGGCAGGCAAATACTGATTATAATGCCTTAAATGATTAAATTACTACAGGCTATCCTCAAAAAGTCTGTTGCAGTGATTTTCTTCTCTTTTCTTTATCTTGTAAGTGTCTTGAAAGAAGAGCAAATCTCATTTCACAGCCTAATTTTTTTTTTTTTTGCCCAAATCCCAGCCCCAGTTGTTCATTTGTGATTTCCAGTACCAGTGACTCAAATTTTATTTTTCCCAGTGAAAAAGAAAAGGCAAATCCCAATTTTCATTTTACTCCTTCCGGCCTTCTTACAATCAACAGTAAATGAGGGAGAAATTACGTAAGGTTTATATATAAGAAAATTAATGTTGCAAACCTTCACGAAACAAATTTGTAATCTCGCGAGTCACTGATGACATCCATTGCATGCATCGCTGTCACAAACATACTACCTGATTACATCCGCTCCCGCGTCATCGAAAATTATCTTTAGAAGACGGTTCACAGCTTGTCCAAAAACGCTTTTTTCACCAGATTCCCAGTCGCGTGACTTGATCTCAAAATGATCCACAAAGCCGTGATCTTTACAGAACTGATCCAGTGCTACCTCACTCTCAAATATTTTTCCAGGTCCAATCCATTGCAGCGGTTCCTGACCTGGCTTATTTACATTGTCTGTGATTAGAACGCATGGAATCGATGGCGAGTAATTTCTAACTTCCTGTCTCCATTTTGTAGCTCCCTCCAGCGAAGATAGCTGATGTGTTCCCCAGAAAACTAACACTCCGTGGCTGAATCTAAAGTAAAGCCTTGTCATGTCAGAAAACCGTTCCTGTTCGCCGATTTCCCAGAACTGTAGTCTTGTCAAGACAGGCTCCTCAGTTTCTCTTCTCTGCCATTTTATTGTCTTTAAATGAAAATCTACACCAATTACTGGACGCTTACACGACTTAACGTCAGGCTGAATTTGTCGATAATCATCAATAAAGACGCCTTTGGTTTGCACTCCATCAGTATAGTCTCCTACACAAACTATTTTCACCAGGCTATCATTCTCGCTTGTTTCTCCTTCCGGGGCGACGTTTGTTTTAAATGTCTTCATCTCTACCTCCCTTCCTAGAGTCCTTAAACATTTCTCATTGACTTTCTCTGGCAATTCATACTTTGTAGCCATCGAGGAAAGAATCTGTTGAAGATAATCAGCACACTAAAAGCAAGAAAAAAGATGTCAGCACTTCTAGCTACTTTTTCCGGTTTCAGTGTCATGTACTTGCAATCTGGGAAATCTCCCCGGCGTAGCGGAACAACTAGATGATTTTAACCTTGTTAGCCGTCGACTCAATTAACCGCCTGATAAATGAGTGCCGTCCAGGCTCTAGTCCTTTGATTGAAAAAGATAATTTTTGCAATCACAAAATGAACTCCATTTCGTTCAGCTTGAAGTTCACTTTCGATAGTTGTACTTGTTTCAGTGTGTGACCATATCGTACCGTGAGAGGGACAATTCTTTGAGGAAATGTTTTTGTTACGTAGGATGAACGAGTCACACATTCACCTAGGCAGTATATACGTAGAACTGTGCAGGCCTTGAAAAACAGTTACGCCTACGACGGCCTCTCGCGCCATCAGCTGCCGAAAAAGAGAATACTGGCCGAATTCATATTTTGAATACTCACAGGGGACCTGACCGAGGGTTATTTCTCAGTTGGCGTACCTTTAAAAGGTACGATGAACCTCCTCATCCTTTTTAAATGAGAGTCCCTCCCCCAGGGAGTCTGGCACTCTTAAGAAATTTCTTTTCAAAGTTTGGATGGTTGCACCCGTCTCTATTTAATATACAGGACTTCCATTGTGCAGGGAACTCCCGATGTGTCAGAGGGCAATCGGGTATTGAGAAGGACAACGTTACGTCAACTTAGGCTTAGATTTTATTTGGAAGTTATATATAATCATGACATATACATTACATACACAAGTTATTGTTATAAAACTTCAAATCAAGTCGACGGATTTTGAGTGTTAGAAAGTATAGAACAAACAGACGCGCGCTAGCAATCGTGTCCGCCATCTTGAAAAGACCACGGGAACGAGGGCGCTTCACTGATAGGTTCATCCGAGACCAGAAAGCTAGGAATCGTAAAGGAAACTTCTCTTGATTATGCTATCTGGTTAGTAATACTGATGGTACATTCTTAAAAAAATTTCCCGTTGTTATTATAATCTCTCGAGAGTGCGACTTGTAATTAACCCGAAGCCGAATTTACACGTGTTCAGCAACCGAATTGACGCATTTTTTAGGTTGGATTTGGTCTTGAAATGTTTCTGGGTTAGGACTAACATGGAGTAGGGAGATTATTACCCCCTCCCCCACCCCCCGACCCCGCATGAATATTTGGGGTACCTTCCTTGGGCTTTAAAGAGGGTGTCTCTGAAGGTCAAAAAGTCAGTCATGTAGCTTGTCGCTGTCACAATCACTTTACCCAACTACACAGGCTTCTTTATTTGAAAAAAACAAAAATTTCTGAAAATCTCGCCAAGAAGACAGCTCACAGCTTGTCCAAAGACGCTTTTTTCACCAGATTCCCAGTCGCGTGACTTGATCTCAAAATGATCCACAAAGCCGTGATCTTTACAGAACTGATCCAGCGCTACCTCACTCTCAAATATCTTTCCAGGCCCAATCCACTGCAGCGGTTCCTGACCTGGCTTAGTTACATTGTCTGTGATTAGAACGCATGGAATCGATGCCAGGAACTGTCTAATGTTTTGCCTCCATTTTGTAGCTCCCTCCAGCGAAGATGGACTTCCTGCTTCCCAGAAGACTAACGCTCCAAACCTGAATCAAGAATAAAACGCGTTTGTGTTTAAATCTGTTTCAGCTATTTCCAAGATTTGCAGGTACAGCTTGATCGAGAATGACTTCTCAGTGTCTTTTCTCTGCCATCTCATCATTTTAAAATAACGACTCCTACCGGTTGTTGGAGTCAGAGACTCCGTTTGAGCCAGTGGACACTTAACTTGCAGATAATCTTCAACAAACACACCTTTTTTGTCTCTTCCGCCAGTGTAGTCCCCGACACAAAATAGTTTCACTAACGGCGGAACCACTGTCGTTCCATTGTCCCTCTGGCGTGAAGTTTGTTTTAATGATTTGTGACTGCTGTCTTTCGTTTTTGCCTCGGGGTCAACGTTTGTTTGAAATGTTTTCATCTCCACCTCCCTTCCTAGAGACTTCAAACGTTCCTCGCTGACTTCCTCAGGCAATTCATACTTTGCAGCCATCGAAGAACAAGAGTTTGAGGAAATATCTGGACGTGCTAAAAAAAAGAGCGAGAGCGACTATACGAATTTCCGGCTTCGTCAGGTATACTCGTTATCCTTTATCCAAACGAGAACAACTCTGATATTTACCTTGCTGGAGTAAGTTAATGGAATAATATAAAGGTTTGGATCTGGAATGTAGCAAATACTGCCTCTTCAGATTTTTGGCGAAGGTTGAATCTTTCGCAGATCGTAAGCTAGGAGCTTGATTTAGTTCAAGTGTCCAATAAAAAATTGTGGATCACTCTCGCCGCTGTCCTGTAGTCAACCCAGATTGACTCCACGGTTGTGACACAGTGGCGTGACATATTATAGCAGTCTGGTCAATAAACGGCGCATGCGGGTTCATGCAGGATACCAAAATAATTAATATGGCGTTGCATCCGCTTTCATAGGCGACGGAGCAGGGATGGGAAGGGGGGGGAGGGAGAGGGTTGTATGCCCCCCAAATGAAAATTTGGGGGCACGCCACGCCCCCGAACCCCCACATCACTTTTCGGTATAAAATTGTTTTGGCAAGATACAGCTGAAGATATTCAGTCTCGTGATCTTTTTGACAAATCGTGTTACCAGGATCGCGCTTGGGGAAATAATATGTTGCAGGGGTGTTTTTTTGGAACAGCTCCGGCCAGTGTTCAGAAGCCAAACTCTTAAGGTTGTATTTGACTTTTATAGCTGTGGCATCGGCGACTTCAGAGCATACATTTTCTGCCCTAAAAAAGAACTACGATGGTTGCCGCTGCTAAATCACCCTACAACACAGATTCTTTCCCCTCCCCAACCTCTAGCAGAACAGCTTAACCTCCCCGGAGTGACAAGGACTACATAACGTTTGGTTTGAATTTTATTTGGAAATTTCATAATTGATTAATTACATCAGTTTAATACGAGTTACAAATCAGATATTAATGAAACGCTTTCCTCATAGAGCTGTTTGGTCGAGTTTTAACTCTTACAAAAATGTCACGATACGGTAAATGATCGCAAATGTCACGTTATAGCACGCGATCGAAGATCGCAGCGTTAAATCCAAGTTTGCTCTTCTTTTTGTTCGGTCTGCAAAATCTCGTCAAGAAGGCATTTCACGGCTTGTCCAAAAACGCTTTTTTCACCAGATTCCCAGTCGCGTGACTTGATCTCGAAATGATCCACAAAGCCGTGATCTTTACAGAAATGATCCAGTGCTACCTCACTCTCAAATATCTTTCCAGGCCCAACCCAGGTGACTGACTTCAAGCACGAATCCGCGGCATTGTCCGTGATAAGTGCACACGGAATCGGAAGGGAAACCTCTTCCTTGATCTTCTTCCTCCACTGTACCGCTCCATGAAGCGACGAAGGATTATGAGGTCCCCAAAAGACCAAAGCTCCTTGGCTGTGTCTGAAGTACACTTTGGTCATGGCAGAAAATCGCTCCATCTCAGAAATTTCGCAGAGCTGTAGCACGATAGAATAGCTGCTTTTTAAGTGGCCCGGCCGTCGCCATTTCACTCTCTTCAAGTAGAAATCAATGCAGGTGAAAGAGCGACTTCTAAACGTAGGTTTCATTCCGAGATAATCTCTTATGAAGACCCCCTTTGTTCTAACTCCACCTGTGTAATCTCCAACGCAGATTATTTTCAGCGGGTTTCGATCAGTGGTCTCCTCCAAGGAGTCTTCCTGCGACAATGTACGAAAATTTGAATTAAATGTTTGTAGTACCAAAGTCGACGCTTGTTCGCTGGTTTCCTCCCCATCTGGTTCATCTGCAGCGGCCATTTCAGTTGCGCAATGTTTGCGTTGAGCTATTCACTGATTCCGTGCAGTTTTCAGCAGTCTAGGGATGGTTTGCTGTTAATAGCTGCTTCAAATGTTGTCATATGATGCCTTCCCACGTCAAATGGTTTCAGTTCTTTTTCTTTAAACGTTAGTATAAAACGTCACAAGGTGGTTTATATCTCGTTCCGAGGATCGGCTCAGAACCTGTCGTAAGCAAGGTTGGTGACCTTTTGAAGGACCGACATGGTATCCTTCACTGTAGCAGTGATGACAGCTAGGAGTGGGATCAGTCATTGTCAGTAGAGTTAGAGGTTTAGAAATTTGGAGTCGAGGAGTATGGAGTTTTATACGCTTCAGTAGTTCTTCCTTGAATATTCTTGAATATTTTTTCCTCCATCCGCCAGTTGGGTAAAATAACGCACAATCACAAGTACTGTAAGTGCCCATTACGTTACAGACCGAGTCCGAAACCGACCGAGAGAAAACATCGCGTGACGAGTCCAAAACGCAANATAAACCACGGGTAAACCTAGAACCGCGCTCGGCCCATGGCCGCGCGGTTAAAAAGGGGATACTGGTCGTCACCTAAGACTTGCCTGAATTTCTTTCCCTTTAGTTCCCACAGGGGATGGAATTTAGGCTAGGGCGCGTGGATACGCGCGAGACGAGCTCGATCGATGTCAGGGCGAGTGTGCGCTCGATGCTCGTTTCTCCGCATCCCTTGCGAATATCATTTCTTGCTCGTTGTGGTCCGTGTAAATGGCCCGTATTGGAGGGTTGGAAGAGGTATGGTTAGTTTCTTTATCTCCTCCATACCATAAGTGTGTATTATCATACCTTATGCTAATAAGATGTAATGCAGTGGGTTGGAAGAGTTGTGGTGTTTGAAGGGAGGCCTTAGTGTGTGTCGCTGTCTGCGTAACTCGACGCCATGTTGGAGGACCATTTTTGTAGTTTTTCTCAGTGATTTCCTTTTAGAGAGCAGGCACCAGTTTTTTTCGCTAACATCTCGAATTTATAGTGTATAGTTTAAAATCGGAACCTAGCTTATTTGAAGAGTTGTCTTCTCAGTTGAAACTGTGAGTTTACACAAAACCGAAACCGGGAAAACCATCAAGTGAGCTTTTGTAAGACTTATATTTAATTCAGTTTTGGCTATTTCGCTGCCTGTTTAGTGGCTAGAGAAAATGCCCACCAAATGTACATAAACTTACTTTCCATAAGAAAAACGAAATTGTTACAATATTTTAAAGCTGTTCATTTTCAGACGTCAACCTTAAAATCAGCCATGCCCTAGTTCACATATAATTTTTTATTGTGGAATGATCTGACTTCTACCGTAAATCCTCGAATTAACGCCCCCCTCGAATAAGCACCCCCTTTGAATAAGTGCCCCTCCTATCGGCCGAAATTTAAAATAAGTGTCCCCCCCTCGAATAAGCGCCCCCCTCCCCTCCCCCCACTTTGTGAGTGAGTAATGAGACAACAAAGGGTGTATAGTTTTCATCATGTAGTATTAGATTTGTACATTGTTTCAGTTTGCGAACACGTTTAGTGAACACGTTGAACACGTTAAGTACTAACGGTGCCGCAATTTAAATGTTAGGATCAGCTTTTTATGTCGATAAACAGCTTATGTTAGTGTTTACGTGCAGATGATATATTAAAAAATTGATCATGTCAGGCTACAATTTGGGAAAAATTAAATAAGCCCCCCCCCCNCCCGTCGATTAAGCGCCCCCCTCGAATAAGCTCCCCTGTCTTATCCTAAATTTGAAATAAGCGCCCCGGGCGTTGATTCGAAGATTTATGGCATGTGAAAGGATTGACTTAGAATGGTCTGACCATGGAACAATCTTACCAGATACTAACATGTGGATTGTTCATTTGCGGGAAAGATTGCTATTTACTGAGCCTGTACAACTGCATATGAATTTATTAACCATTCACTTATAGGCTTACAGGTCTTCAGAGAGGGTTTCAACTACAGTTTAAAGCATATTTCATTTAAGGGGCTGTCAGCATTTTTGCTTGTACCCCATAGAACTGCACTTTAAGGGGTTGGGCAGGAGGGGGGGAGGGGTTAATGCAAGTTGATTTTAGGACATTTGTGTGGGGGTTTTTAACCAAAAGCGAAAAAGATCTATTTACAATAAATGTTAGTTCTTGTCCAAAATGGAACTCAACAGAAATAGGAAGTAAATTTCACTGGCACATGCAATGGTGACAAAGAAAGGGTAAAGCATATGTGAAGTAAGTAGGAAGATGTTTCATTATGAAATCTACTTGTGAAAGATATGCCTTTGGCACAATATCTCCTTCAGCATATGATTTATCACTTGGTTAGCTTAGCTAGCACTCTGGTTAGCATAACTAGCACTCTGGTTAGCCCAAACAGCACTAGATTGCTTGCGGTTAGCCTATATATATTAGGGTTAGGGATATGTATAAAAAAATCGCAGTTTCTGGCAGCTGGGTTGGATGGTCAAGTGGAGATGACTCTTGCATGGCAATCTATTAACCCAGGTTCGACTCCTCTTATAGTAAAATTTTTTTACCTTAAGAGACAAATAGAGAATGCGGTTTCATACCTCATGAGTGAAAAATAAAGAAATCTCACATGAGAAAACCTCCAGGGGGTCAATGTTAGATTACATCAACCTGGAAGCAAAGATTCTACAGATGTCGTCCATGCTAAGGGTCATAATGCAGGTGAATGAGTGCAAGTCCTTACAACTGCTCCTCAGACATCTGTTTCTGAGATAAGACTGATTCTTTGCAAGCTGGGTAATGAAAATTCAGCTTCAGCAGAACAGACAGGGAGTGCACTCCCACTTAATTATAAACAAAACAGGCATGTTCAGATATTTTTCCTCATCAGCATATTTTACACACGACACTGGATAAGATAAGATAAGATATAAGATAAGATACTTAATTTAATGTGCAGTTACGCTTAACTAATCAGCTAGTTTACAGGTAATCCAAGGCCCAGTATATTCTAAAAATTAAAACTAAAAATGTCCAATAATATTATTGATCATATAAAACTATTAAGACCTGTAAATGCTGAGAATTAAAAATTTAAAGAATCAAATCACAATAAATTCTGACATCAGTAAAACGTAAGTGATCAAATTTTGTTGTTCACTTTATTAGTGCCTACTTTAGTTCTAATATCATTTGTTAGCTTGTTCCATTTCTTTGCGGCTTATTTCTCTTAACGGATGAGATTTCCCATTAATGGTAAATATGGGGTGCCCTGTTTCCAAAGGTATTGCCATTTCTTTCACTCGGAAAGAAGTGATATAACAGTGGCATGCAATCCCGCTGATGCAAAAAATTCTAGTGCAAACAAAAACTACCCTGGACCCTACCCTTGTAGATTCACCACTGTTGTTTGTGCTTGTTTGCTCATTAGTGGACAGATTGTATTAAGATCACTGGAAGCTTCTCAGTGTACTTAGATTTCACACATTCAGGGATCTTTTCTGTGTTTTATATTGGAGCAATGTAGGGGATTTGTAGCTATAATTATTTCTTCTGTCAGTCCTCCAATATGGCAGCCAGTACTTTTGTGACTTCCTTTGTGTTGGGAAAAATATGTTAATAGCCCTCTTTCAAAATGCAGACTTTTATTTCGACTGCATTCAAGAACTATCTACGGTAGAACTTTCCAGAAGTTAAATACTTTACTGGTTAAAACAGGTTTTGTAGATTGCATAGCAAGTCCCTCGTCAGCTTTGTAATTTTGTCAGATTGAAAATGTTTTGTTTGACTGTTAACTGGCTTACTGTTTGTGGCTTCTTATAGATGGCAGGGCAGTTTTAGAATGTTTTTCAACACTTTTTCACATACACTATTAAGATCAAAATAGGCCTCTTAGTTTAAGTCATCACCATGTTTTCCTTTAGTGAAGAAATGGCAGCTTTTTTTCTGCTGTCGTCATAAATAGGTCCATTGTGTAGCCTGGACTACAGTCAGGGAGATAAACTTAGGATTCTGCCGTTTATATTTTACAAAAGTTACACAAGTTACAGAATTTACACCACTGTTTGTCTCGCATCCTTAAGAGCAAATTCTAAATCAAGGGGGCTTTTCTATACCTACCAACTGTTGCACCTTAGATGTGTCAGTCTCACAGTTGTGACTGTGAGGCAAATAATTATTGACATTGACATGGATTTGCCTTTCCTTGCTTTGGTTCTAGTTTATATATTTTTGAAAGTGTGTAAAAATCAGGTTTAAATCACAGAGCAAGCCTATATAACAAGGCTCAGGTGTTCAGTCTGCCAGTCACAAAACCTAACAAGAGACGAATGTTCTTATTTGATTGGTTTGTTCACTCAGGTCTAATTTTAGCCCATATGGAGTTGCCACAAAATACTGGAACATTGAACAAATAGATTGAGAGTGCGCGATCAGGTGTAGCTTTCTGTTTTGCTTTAGAAGTTAGTAGACAATACCATTTGAACTAAACAAACGATAGCTTCTGAGGAGAACAATTTAGAAAGATTGATTGACTTCATATGTTTGTTTTGCCACCTGTGAAAGTGTATGGTATATGATGTGTTCTTGAGCTGTTTACTCAAATTGAAATGCCATGCCTGGTACTTTTGATGCCAGAAAAGAAAATGGAGTCTCTTTGCTCCTTCCTGAATTAATGTGTTTGAGAAATAATTTTGGAAACTAAAACTTGTAAAACAGCTAATATATGCTGTACACGCAGACTGCGAAGATGACAATGTGCAAGATGACAATACGGCTGGTAAAGTATAAAGGTGGCTTGATTTGTACATCGCTCAGAAGTTGAATGTCATTCACTATAAACCGGCCCCAAAACAAAATATTATTGTATATCTTTGGTAATGTTATTATATGTTTATTCTGCAACCAGTTGCATAAGTTTAATATTGGCTGCTGTTGTGATTCAGTCGGTGTTTTACAAACACAATTTTTGTTTTTATTGGGATTCAGCTGTAAGTCATTCTTCTCCTTTCTAACATTGATATGCAGGTGAAATGTAACTGCCATTTTTCAAGTTCTTTTTGTTTTCTGTGTGGTACTTTCTTTTTTGAATTTCTTTGCTCAGAATATAGAACAGTTTGAGGAGTATAAACTCAGCATTATTCAGTTTGCATTTTGTTTGCACAATCATAATGCTCATCAATCTGAAAGTCTGTTTTTCACTGTATTTAATTAGTATTTACCATATTTTTTATGTAAATGACTCTGTTAATTTAACAAGGATGACTTCTACTGTTGTGCGATCATTATTTTGGCTTTCCATCATTACACACAAAAAAAAACTCAACAAAGTGTTTCAAAGGTGATGTGTCCTTGCCTTTAATAGGCTTGCTCCATGTTTAAGGCTAAGTCAGGTTTAAGGTTGCCGCAGATCTGATTTGTTTACTGGAGTTCTACTGTATTTTCTGCTAATTCATAGAGAGACAGCACACCATTCTAGTGTTCCTGTGTATATGTTGGTTGTCCTGTGTTATAACACAAGTGATGTAGATTAAAAACCTTTTGGATGTCAGAATCCACACATACATTCTATTTATAGTGTGTGTTCGATTGTGCATGATTAATATGTAAATGTTGTGTTTAATTAGGTATGATTGTGTGAAGTCACGTTTTCTTCAACACATGCAGTATACCATTGTTGGACTTCAGGGGATGTAGAAAGTACATCTGATACATTATACGATTCTTTAATGCTGTTAGGTTGTTAAATTTATTTTCAACCAAAATTTCCTGTGATTTTTCCATTTGTCCAAGTAGCCCCTTGAAAGAAAATTAGTTCACAGCATGCCAACAACATTATGTGAATTCAGGTTCATTTATTGAATGTGTGATTTGGCATCACTTTTGTTTATTTCATTGATGATTGGGAAAGTAGATTGTACAACTGTATGGTTATTACACTATTGAAAAGTGTTTATATGTTGTTAAAAAAAACAAGAGCAAACTAATAAATCTATACAAGTTTACAACATTGAAATAATTTATTGTGAATTCATGTTGCCAGCAGTCACTTCATTTTGAAACTCCTGGTTTTAACTGTGACATTTCAAGCTTGATTGACTCTCAAACATTATCTAATGAGTATCTTTTCTATCAATGTTTCATTTTAGACTTGCAATGGTGTCAGCTATGCTTGAAGAAGTCACCGATTCCTTTTCTTGTGCTGTTTGTCTTGAACAATTTAAAGAGCCAAAAGTTCTGCAATGTCTGCACGCCTATTGTAAGGGGTGCCTTGTAAAACTGGTGAAGAAAAAGGGATCTGATCATGTCATACCTTGCCCTGTATGCAGGGAAGATACAAGAGTAAGTAAATTGTTCTTAAAAGTTATACAATTGAACCTGTCTACTAGTGCCCTGTTTTACATAGCTTGCAAGCAGGCTCTCATGGGTTGTGGCACCAGCAATAAAGCAGAGAGTGTCTTGGTCTTTCTCTTGGTGCTTTGCTGCTCTTGCCGCAGCACATGAGAGCCCAACTTGCAGGCTACGTTTGGTAGTACCTAATTTTGTCCTGCATATGATAAGGGTGGTGATGCTCAGCAGAAAATTCAATTAAACCGTTGAAGAAAACCAATTTGGGCGTGGTTCAAGCTTTATTTTACCCCTAATAATATCACTTAAAATGGAACAGGCTTGATCATCACATTCTTTTTTTGTGGAAAGGTAGTCAGGACTTGAGGGAGCTGAGTTAAATCAAGCCTAAAAACTTTTTCTATTATTTCTTTGAGTGCACCCTAAAAGGTACAGGCCTGAATTTTTTTCAGGCTTTAATTTCACAACTTGTGTACATAACTGCGATGATCAATCATGTCTTCATATCTTCTCCGCAGTTTAAATATACGATAGTTCATATATTCACTTGTATTTGTCACCATCTACGGGTATATTACGAACTCACAAAGTGACTAGCTCCCAGATGGCTTGATAGCTCAGTTGATAAAACACTGCACCGGTATCGCAGAGGGCATGGGTTCGAATCCCATTCAGGTCTGAATTTTTTTTCAGGCTTTAATTTCACAACTGCTTAAGTTGTGTGCATAACTGCAACGATCAATCATGTCTTCATATCTTTCTCTGCAGTTTAAATATATGATACCTCATATATTCACTTGTAAAAGTTACTTTGACAGCAAAAAAAAGTCACTCTGTGTTTCAACCTGCAAATCCAAAATGAGACCAAATTCCTTGATTTACATCCCTAAGCGATATGATGAGCATCCCTTACCTTTTCATATAGGAGTCTCCCCCCATGGGAATATATCCAACACAAAAAACCTTGTTTGACCACAATTCCAAACACTCAGAGGACAGAGTTGAAAAGATGATGTGTAGCAGAGTGTTTTTGACAAACTCTGAGGTGTCTTGAGTGTTTAATGTATCTTCTCAATTGAAACTAAACAGAGAAATAAAATTGTCAAAAACTATGCAAATTAAGACCAGATATCCAAACACTGTCATAGTCTGAGTCATGATTTCTTTTGTTTAAATACATGAATTATTAATGAGTCTGAGAAATAAATTTGCTATCTGGCTCAAACACTGTCACGCCTCTTCTAAGCAGTCACAGCCACTCTTTAGTAGTCCCTTGTTGGTCTGTCTTTGTTAATTTTATCTGTATTAAGTGCAGGACTTTTTTCACACCGGGACAGTGTTGCACTTCATGCTTTGTGGTCAAACGATTGACTTGTATGTTTGTTTCTTTTTAGGTTGCTGGTGGAGATGTCAGCAAGCTTCCATCAAACTTCTGGATAAACAATTTACAGAACACTCAACACAATGCTTCCTCAGGAAGACCTGTGATCTGTGAACACTGTGACAGTGGTGACTCAGCTATTTCACATTGCAGTAACTGCCGTGTTTACATGTGCAAGTTTTGTGTTACTGCACACAAGAGAATCCTTGCAACCAAAGATCACAAGATTTTATCCTTGGAGGAAGTCAGGAGACTTGGTACCAAAATCCCCAAAAAGCCAGCTATGTGTAGCAAACATAGCGGAGAAACTCTTAAATTGTTCTGCAAAACATGCCAGAGGATAATTTGCAGAGATTGCATCATTGTGGATCAGTGTAACCATAAATACAGCTTTGTTGCTGAAGTTGCTACTAAAGAAAGGAAAATTCTTCAGGCTGTTCTTCAAGAAACAAAAAGCAAAGAGCGTGCAGTAGAAGAGGGTTTGAAAGCATTAGAAACAATGAAAAATCGTGTCCATGATAAGGCTGCCACAGTAAACAAGGATGTTGATGCTTTTTTGGACAAGCAAGTGAAGGAATTGGAGCATTTACGAGCAGACCTTAAGTGTGAAGTTTCTGCGCAAGAGCGAGGAAAAGCCACACAGCTTAGTAGACAAAGTGAAAAGCTCTTGTCATTTTTGAGGCAGTTGAAATGTGGTATTAAATTCTGTGATCAAGCTATGGCAGATGGTGATGATGTGGCATTGCTGTCTGTGAAGAATCAAGTTATCCAACGACTTTCCCAACTCAATGCAGAACAATATGACTGTCAGCCATGTCAGAATGATTTTCTAAAGCTATGTGTGCGTAAAGAAATTGCAGACATTGGGAAAATGGCTGTAATATCTTGTGTTCCTATCGACCCAGAGAAATGTGTTCTCAGCATGTTAGGAGGGGAGAAAGGAGTCTTATATGACACTTTAGCTGGACAGACTGTTGATTTCTTGCTCACTTTAAATCATGAAGAGGGAGCTTGTACAGCATATAGCTGTGCTGTTAGTTCTGTTAGTGCTATTGTTAAATACAAACCACATGGTCAGATAGAAACACAGGAAAAATTCCTTTCAGTATGTGACGATGGTGGTGGGTCATACAGCTTTTCCTTTCTTCCAAAGGAGGTTGGACAAGTTGTGCTTTCAGTGAAAGTTGAAGGCCAGCACATACACGGGAGTCCCTTCATTTGGCAAGCAAAGGATAAACATTCAAATTTCACAGTTAAGGGCGTAAAGAAGATGAAAATGACATCTACCTGACCCTTGATTTTTAAGAGAATTTCCTGATTATTTGACGTGTGACTCACAGTATTGCCTTGGCAATTCTATATTTCCTGTATGTTCCTCTTGTTACACAAATAAGCATTCCCTGAACTTCTAAATCTTGGATTTGCCAAATTTTGCTAATTAAAAGCGTCTTATATGGAGAGAGCACATCAGAAAGAGTAGTTTTGGAAGGGGTTCGGCAAGAAGTAGAATAAAAACTATAAGAATTATTAATAACCTAAGAAATAGTGAAACTAGAAAGATCTTAAAAGTTTAAAAATTCATATATGAAGCCATTTGAGAGAACAAAAAATTGAAAAAGTAGAAATTCAAGAAAACAAATTGGTGACCAAGCAGCTCAGATTATTTTTAAAAGGTTAAATGACAAAAACTTAGTTCTTATTTCATTAATCTGCATCTTGTTGATTTTGACATAGAAAGTAAATAGGGTACATTTAAAGACAGTGCACCCAAAACAGTTTGTGCATATTTTTGTTAGTTTCCACAGTATCGCTTGTCTTCCATGGCACTATTTACCATCAAAATGGACCAAAAACTATTCCTGTATAATAGCTTTAGAATAAAAATAAAAATCAAACTGACTAATAATTTCTTTCAGCAAACATTTACAGTCAAGACAGCTGTAGCATTCTGCTGAAATAATAAGCGATGCTTTTCTTGATTAATCCAATAGAGAGAGTTGATAGTGAATGTGCTTTATAGTAAGTGATTTGATAACAAAGATAATTACAACAGTTTGTTTCCTAGAGTGAGATTTGTACATCTGATGGTGATGCAACAGCTTTCTCTCATTCATGCTCCTCCAATCACATGAATATCACTGCACCTTTCAATAACATGAAGACTCTAAAATTCAAAGCTCAACTGACAAATGCATTTTTTGCTACCGTCAATCAAATGTTTGGCAACTCCTCCCAGCTTCCGACTACTGCCGAGTGCATGGTAATAAAATCGTTGAGCACAGTTAAGACAACGAAGCAGTGCTCGGCAGTAGTGTGAAGCTGGGAGGAGCTGATATTCAACATTTGAATGGAAGCTAGGTAGAATGATTGCCGGGATCATTCAGCTGTAGTTTTAAATGTCCAAAATCAAAGGTAAAAAGTCTGCATACAAGCAAAGTGGCCCGCTAGGCCCACTTCAAAATCAAAGCAATATTGAATTTACAGAAGCATTGGTTATTATTTGGTGGGACACTTCAGCTGTCTTGACTTTAAATTGATTTTACTTTTCTGGTGGGGAATGTTTGAGTTATACTCTCAGTGTTGCTAGATTAGGAGCAATATTATTAGAATTTTTTAATACTGAACATTATGACCATTTATCCTGCAAATTTTGTAGATTGAAATTTAATTGCAATAGCTTCTTTAAAACCAGAAAATCAGGTTTTAATCCTAAGCAAATTGCCTGAAGTTATTGTTATTTTTTAATATTACATGTAATAACAGTTTTACATATTGTATTGAAAAGGTGCCTAGAAAGATTTGACCTTTGGATAAAGTTATTGTTAGATTAGGAAAGTAATATTGGAATTTTTAATACCAAATGATGTCAGTTATCTTTAAACTTTGTAGATTAGAATTAGATTGCAATAGCAGCTTCTGTCAGGAAGATAGGATTTAATTGTCCTGAGGGGGTGGGGGGGGGGGGGTGTGGGGCACCCATATGAAAAGGTTGGGGATGCTTGTTGGAAAATTTGAATTAGACCCTTAAATGACAACAATCAGGGTGTCGCTCAAGCTTTATTTGACTCCTAAAAGATACCACTTAAAACGGACTAGGCTAAATTACCAGCCCCTGTTCAGGAAAGGTGCCTGCATTAGTAGATGGGACTTGCGAGACCAGTGGAAATCAAGCCTAAAAATGGAAATAAGAGCGTTTTTTTAAATTACTATTTCTTTGAGTCTACCCTAAAAGATACTTTGACGGCTAAAAATAGTGGCATTTCATCACGATCACCCTAAGTGAGACGACCAGCATCCCTGACCTTTCTATATGGGAATCCCCCCCAGGATTGTATGCAATAAGATTTCCCTGAAGTCCTTGTTAACAGTTTTATGCTTTTGTATCAAAAATTTTTAGATTCTACCAGTAGAGTTACCTAGTATTTGAAGTAAAGTTATTGTTAGTTTTACTATTTGGGAAGCTTCTTTCTAAAGGAAGGTGCAGCTGCAGGGAATTCTCTGTCTAGTGTTTTAAAATGGAAAAAAAACTCCTAGTTACTGACAATCGGTTTACTCCTGTATTCTTGAATTATGAAAAAAATTGATAAGGAAATTCTGACTCCCACAGCTTTCAAGTTGTCCTCCAGAATTTTACTCCCCTCCCCACCCCAAAAATGTAATTTCATTAAACATGTTTTTCCCTACCTCCTGCTAAATGCTCTGGAACATTCATGAAGGACCATATAAACAACATCATGTAAACTTCAATGACTCAGTTTATTATTATTCTGTTTCGGAAATAATTTTTAGCTAGAATGAGTTTTCTCAAATCCTTGTAACATTGCCACCGCCAAATCTTGATTGAATGGTACATTGTGAACCTGGTGAGCCTGGTGAGCCTGGTGAGCCTGGTGTCCCTGTGCGTACGGTAGTACACCTTAGTGTGTTTGTGTTTTTGGAATGATGGCTGAAATAACTATGACTAAGTTTCTCTCTTAAACTGATGATGAGGAACTTTTTGCTACCACTTAGTTGTAAAGCCTTTGTTATGATAGTAATTTAATCACCGGTTTATTAGTATAATAGTGTCATGTGAATTAGATTCTGCATCAAACCTCATAATTTTTGAAATAAAGGCATTCAATAATGACCTGCTTCAAACAGTTAAGGCAGCAAACTGAGTTCCTGATCCTAAGCCAAAACATGAAGGATGCTCTGCTTGCGAAGACTTAAATCCTGAAAAATGTGCAGATTTGAAGTCTTTGAAGGCATGCTCTCTCAAGACTTACAAAGAGTGCAGGGTGTAATTTCAGGACGGTGCCACTGGAGTGGTCTTTGTTTACCTTTCCTAGATGAGACTTCGTAGTTTGTAGATCCAGTTTTCTTGGGTATCTACTGTGCCCTTAAAAATCCCTGTTCGTGATGTTCTACATGTACCTTTTCCTGGGTTAGCTTAATCGGACTCTGAACAACCCGGCCCAGGAGCTAGGCTTTTAGGCTGGCCTAAATCTATATATTACATAATATTCATAGGAAAATCTAGCCTGCGAACAGGCACCTGGCGAGGACGGAAAAAAAATTGGCGAGCGCGAAACAGAAGAATTCGGAGAGCGAAGCGATCGGGGACCTGTTTGCACGCTGGGGGAATCTGGGCCCACCCCTCCCAGTTTCCAGCTCCCCTAGCTGAGAAGAATGGCCCACAATGCAAAGTGGGTTTCGGGTACCTTCAACTTCAATGTTGCAGACTTTGATTGTTGACTAGAAACTGTATTCGCATTTAATCCTCGGTAAGTCATTCTTCAGGAGTATTCTTAATTGTAAGAACTTCAAATTGCGCAATGCAAAGCAAAGGGCATAAATGTTAAGCTTTTTTAATTACAAACTGAGACGGACCACCAACGCAGGAAAATCAGGAAGTAGAGTTTTTAAAGTGCAATCAGTTCTGATGTTAACAAATTTGTCAGTTCATATTATCGATCTAAAAACCATTCGAATTATCTATCATAGCATAGTTAGTGGAGGGGACTAGAAAGAATCTAATACTTACTTCATCTGCAGCTTCTCTAAACTGTTCATCAAGCTCTTCTTCTTCTTCCAAAATACCTAAAATAGAGTCAAAATCGTCTCCAATGATAAAGTAAAACAAATCGTTCGTGTCCGCCGTATTGTTTGGTAATGAACGTTTGGCGTGTGCACGGTCAATGTCACGTGATGGTGCAATTCAACCTCAAACGCGAAACAAAAGGCCGGCCCTTTGAAGTTTGCCGGGTTTCACAACCAGTCCCCTCCACTAACTATGATCATAGACTTGATTAGGCTTAATTAGGCTAAGCGTAAAATATCTAAGATGTGTAAGCACACAAACCACAGTCCAATATTCAACAAATAACATAAAACTCCAAGAAGTCCCTGGGGGGTACGGTATGTGTTAAATATTTCCGAGCTGAGTTGTGTTTCTGTTTATTATCATTATTGTGAATTTTATACGCTTAACTTGAAGTGCCTTGTTTTGTTTTATAGTTTCAAATTAAACAATGGCCACCGCCACTCCTGAGGAGGTCGACAAATACTTGTCTTGTGCCATCTGTTTTGAACAGTTTAAGGAGCCAAAAGTTCTGCCATGTCTGCACACCTATTGTAGAGAGTGCCTTGTGAGACTGATGAAGAAGATAGGACCTGATCATATCATAATATGCCCTGAATGCAGGCAGGATACAAAAGTAAGTTAAAAAGCTTCTAACAGTCCTTGCCACTGTTAGTTAAGGGATAAGGGTCTCAATGTATTGTTGAGTCTCTGATATTATTTCTATTCGTCATCTGTACTCCAGGACTGATGTGAATGCCCATGGAGAATTCCATATAAAAAGGACAGGGGTGCTCATCGGAAATATTGAAAAGAACCCCTTATAGGTACCAAGATCCTACTTTGTGGGCGTCACTTGAACATTTTTTCACCCCTAAGAGGTACCAATTCTAAAACAATACATTATCTCCTGTCAAATTTTCACCCCCCAGGATGAAGGTAGTCTCAGAGACAAATGAAACACTGAAAAATGAGACTGAAATGATTGGAATTAAAACATCAGCAACTCAATTGAGCCATGTGTTTGTCAGCTAGATGTGCACTGTTCAACTGGAAATATTTCAATATTTTTGGGTTTTCAACCAGAACTTTCTCCAGTCGCTCGTTTCCCAGCTACAGGGTTGTGTCATATATTACCTAGAATAATTCATGGTGTATTATCAGAGAGCACAGCATACGGAGAAGACAATGTTGTAGTAGATCTTTGTATGCATTGCAGTCCTATTGCACTAATTGATGGCTACTTCTAAATTGATGAATGGCCAGATTACTGGACAGCATTTTCAAACTTTCTTCCAATATTTTACCCTGGTTCAGTGTCTTTTTCCTACACTACTGAAAATCAGTGGTCTTTTAGCTGGCTATACTGAGAAATGGTTCCAGACCTTTTGTTGTGGTAGCACACATGAAAAAATACTAAATTCTGATTGGCCAAGGTAGGAAGTATATTATGACACAAGTACAGAAAAATGTAACATGAGTGTAAAGTTGTAAAACAAGGGCAGCAAAGATGTCTGAAGTTAGTACAAACAAACTTGGAGAGTGTGGATGATCATGCAAGGTATTTTGAAGGTGGTTAATTTCATCTGAAGCTTTCTACAGATAGCCAAATTAAAGATAACCAGAAGATTTTCGGCCCCTTTTGAAGACCCTCAAACACTTTCAAAGATTTATAGAGATCACCTGTCCAGCATACTTCAGTGTTTTTTGAATATTATTGGTTGGAACACTTTCGAAGATTTCCCAAGGTCCCAAGATCAACTGAAGATTGTCGAATTTCAAAGAATTTGTCCAACCAGTTAATTTAGAAGGTGTGCAAATACTTCCAAAGATCTTTGGAAGATCAAGGTCACTGCGTTCTGCCAATTGTCTAGCCAAAGGCAAATTAACTATTTTGGAGTACTTGCCCTAGCTATGGGTTACTGCAATTTTGTTAACCTTTTGAAAATTTACTTGAATGTGTTTAAAGTGCACTTGGAAACATTTGACTATAGCTTTCACAATACCTGCTGAATTTATTGTGGACCTAGAAAAGAATCATGGCCCTGGGTTGTTAGGGTAAACACAGACCCATCCCTATTAAATTGCGATATCACTTTTTGACCAATGTAATACTGAATATATTTATTAATTTACTTAGAGTGT